ATATATATATATGTATAATTATAGATATATATATTTAACATATACATGATATGTAATATACATAATTACATTTCAAAGATGCTTTTCACAAAAAAAAAGATCTTGACAAATATCATCAAGTACGAAATATCATACGTTACAGGATTGTCAAAGAGGATTGTTGATGATTTTAGAAAAGTCGAAACCAACTGTCTAAACAATGATATTTGGGACACGCTGGCATTCGTAGCTTTTTCTTTATAAGTCTTGTGTTTGGATATGTAACCGCTATCAGTCAACGTTACAACTCCGTAGTGATTTCATCCTGCGGCCGGAAGCCGAGGATCGTGAAGTCATCAATGAGATAGTCACGAGCGGGTGACCAGTCCGACAGAATGGTGTAGTTGGCCGCTTCTACGGGGCTGCTTTGAAATTTCCATTGCGGGTTCAGGTCACGGTCCAGGCCGTCGTTTATTTCGCACTCATCGTGCAGCGCACGGATGCCAGTCTCTAAGGGTAGCGCGGCGCCATTGTAACTGCGATTAAACGCAGAAATCACCTGAAGTTCTTGAAGGTGTGAGTCGCTCGTCCTTGAGCCTCCTCGCTTCGAATTACTGCCGTAGACGAGAGGCGTCGTTTGGCCAATTGTCGAGCCGTTCGGGCTGAGTTTCTCGCTGTTGTAAACACCGGTAGCGCTGTTCTGACCCAGACTCGAGCCGAGGGGACTGCTGTCTTTCGTGTAACCGAGGCTCGAACTCGCCGGACTAATGCTCGATTTATCGCTCGCTTGAAAAGTCGCGAGTGGCACGTTAGCTTGGAATGTAGTGAGATTAGTAGGGGTGCTTCTAGGCTCGTACACGGGTTGATGAGGTGGTGGTTGCGACGTCGCTACCGGTTGCACCGGCGAGGTTACCTGGACAGGGTTGTTGGTCGGCTGCTGCAGGAATGTCACGAGCTGAGCCACCTTAAAGTTACGAGAGAACGATAAATGTTATACCATTCGTGCTCCTATTTTCATAATTTTAATTTAAATTCAAACTTTATACAATGAAACAGTATGCTTTTAGAGGGGGAAGGGAAATTTACGCGGGAACTTTTGTCTAACGTTACGCTTTTTGCATAGAGCTGGGTATGTGACTCACCAAAGTGCTTTAGGGACTGGCGTGAAAAAGAATTGAAATTGTTTGATAATATCGGTAGCACTTTCGTTTATCGTTTTCATTTCACGTAGAAATATATTCGCGAGAATAACGATCTTACTTCTGGAGAACTGTGTCTTTTGTATCGTCTCAGCAGCCGCTCTGCCCACGAGAATAATCGTTGCCAATCGTCGGGCGGAAGTGGTATTTCATCATCTCTTCTGTTTACGAGGACCAATATTCTCGCCAGATCACGTAACACTGGTCTGTAAGAACATTAATAAAAATTAATGAGAATATTCATATAGATATACATTATATGGACAAATTTTTAATAAGAAGAGAAATATTCAAGAATGTTTCATTAAAAAAATAATTAATAGCATAATTTTTAACGATTTTCTTATTTTTTATCAACTACTATCTTTATTCTGACTATATTAAATATATTAAAATCAGAAGATTTTAAATCCTATCTTTCTAATACCAGAAAAAAATATTGAGAAAAAAAAATAGAAACTCTAACTTTTATTCAACTTTCCAGTGTATTTTTTAAAGTATTTTTGGTGCAATGATTCTCAACAGAGTAACGTTATAAAAATATTCGACCGTCAAATTTTTTGTTTGTACCTGTATGCTTGGATTCCGACGGCACCGTCTCCATTACTTCCCGAATAATACAACTCTCTGACTTGTCTTCTAGTATCGTTGAGCATCGCAAGGAAAGTATTGGCTTCTCCACGGAGCGTCGCCAGGTGTTTCAGAAACTCTCGCCTCTCCGCGCTGAAACGCACGAGCACACATTCAATAAATCGCGCGAAACAAAGACGAGCGAAATGATTGAGGAAGTCAAATCTCCACATCGGAGATTTGAAGGCACATCCACAAAGTGGACGTCTTTCACTTATAAATTTTAAAATAACTGAGATTCGGTATCCCATCTAGCCAAAAGACCATGTTATTAAAGGCTTCACAAATATGTAAGAATGTTTTTTCAAATTTATATGGTCCACGATACGAGAAGCTGCCACGGTCTCCAGAGTTGCCCCAGGTTGTTGACATAGGACTGAAACGAACCTGTCTTCGAACTGCTGGGCCAATTTGGCCGCCTTCTTCTTACGCCGGTGCACGACTATCGCGCCGCAGAGAATGATGAAGATGCAGATGGACGCGCCGGAAACCACTCCGACCAAAATCGCGACCTGGCTACCGGTGAGGCCGAACATGTAGCCGGTCTCCCGACAGATGCGACCCATGTACTCGTCCCGGGTGGACCAGTCGGCGACAAAGCCCGGTGGGCAGGTATGCACGCAGGTACCCTGATGCAACAGCACGGCACATCTGGCGCACGTTCCGTCTCTGCACCTCCTGCATCCCGTCTCGGATTCGATGCATTCTCCGGCTGCAATTAATAAAACACGAGCCTCTTAAGTTATCCATTAAGTCGAAAATTTCTGTCGGAACTTGTGTCGAAATAAAAACTTATTCATCAAGAAGTATCAATCTCTTCTACGGGGGAATACATCACGAGGGGCCCCGCGGCCGTATTTTCCGGTGGTTTAAGCTCGAAATTACTCGATTCATCAAAACCTTCAAAGTTCTCGTTGACGCTAACGATCACCAAACTTGGACCGGAATCTCGGGTTCGGTATAAACTTTGAAGTTTTATTTTCTAAAGCTACTCGCGACAGCAGCAGAAGTTTGCCTTAGATACAAGCGGAGTGCCTGTGACAGTGCCTTTCAACGCGGAGCTATCTGTGAGGGAACGTCTTTCGTCTTTCTGGGAAACGCCAGCAAAACTTCCGCGCGTATACCTGGCTTTAGGAAAGGTCAATGCACCTTGACCGACGAACCTACAACTTTAGCGATGGGTCATTACCAGGCGGAAAAAAAGGAAAAAAGTCTCATATCGCATCGCGATCGCCGTCAAGCCTGGCGTTCTCGCGCGCAACCGTTTTATTTCGTATTTGGTACACAACTGGTGAGATGCAGGTGGATCGAAGTGTGCGTGAGTGGTGCGGCTATCCGTTCGCAAACGTGCCTTACACTGGCATTTCCTATCCCTTCTAGCGTGTGACCTTCTAGCGTTGTAACACCTTCCGACTTCGTTTCTAGGTATATCACGGTCATTCCGCGAGTGTAAGGCGAATTAAATATACAAAATGTCCCAGACCTAGACCGAGTCTCTCTTTACACTTATGGATTTTCATTCACCGGTTCGGAGTCGATTTTTCCTTCAGCGAGGAATCCGTCGAGATTATAAATTTTTAAGAAATTTGAGGTATCCGTCTTCGACGGATTACTCTACACATTTGAAATGGCTAGGATTTCAATCAATCACTCGGACAATTACGGATTGTGTGTAATGCATTGGTGCACAAACGTCGAAATCTCTCAGCTGGAAACTTGAAATATTTTTTGTAAGGTATCTACCTAGGTGGTGCTTACGCACTATGTGTGCCAAGTATTTGGGCCACTGCTCGGGGGGCTATGGATCACTGACTGCGGTAAGAAAGAATTCGATTCGCTCGTTTACTCGCGATTACTTGCCTCATTTCTACGGCACTTCATCGCGTGATCGCAGTTTCGATATTACCCCACGCTCTTCTTTTTCTCTCTCGTTGAAGCCGTATTATTTTCCATAAAATGGAAAATAATACGGCTTCAACGAGCCTCGTTCGGCGTATCTTCTCTCGAAGAGAGAGAGAGAGAGAAAGAGACGCACTTCGCAATATCCTTCATACTTTTAATACTCCTCTCGACATCCTCGTTGGCGGCTTATTGCAGGACGCATTCGTAATTTCGCTGACGTATATCCTCGATGCCTTCCCCGTATGCACCTCTCATTCCCTTTCTCTTCCTAGTTACGTCTCTTCCTCCCTACTCGGTGATCAGATATACATCACGCGGGGTCACGCAAGAGAGCCGGATGGACAGCGCGCGAGAAAATTGAAAGACCCGGTGTACCCACTGAGGGGGAGACTCCGGCGGGGCGGTCCATTAGTACGTGTATGAGGAATGCGGTTGCTGGTTTCTCGATTATGTGGGTCTATAAACGCGCGCGCGCGCACTCCACGCACTTGAAAGCGGCCGGTCACACACATTCCTCCAGGTTGAGAACACTAGGTCGAGACCGTTCGAGTCCCCCTTCTCCGCACGCGTGTGGTGTGCTCTATGATAAGG